CAGGAGTTGGAGGTTGCTGTGAGCAGTGAAGCCATGGCACTCTACCCAGGGGCTCAGCTTGAGGCTCTGTCGCAAAAATAAATAAATAAATAAATAAATAATAATAAAATGTAATCTCTCCTAAGAAAACTCTGGTGTGTTATATTGATGACGTCAAGATAATTCCTTTCCCAGAAGAGAAACCCAAAGAGGATGTAAGAGCTTAAGTATCACACATGATTAACTGAGGAAGATTAATCATCCTAGCTAAATAGAACACCAGACCAATCAGTCAAAGTTGGAGGACTAAGTTGGGGTGACCCATCGGAGGCATTCTACAGACTACAGAATAAGTTACTGTCTCTGCTGGATCTCACCAATAAGAAAGAGACCAGTTGCCATGAAGGACATACCACCTTTAGATTTATCAGATACAATCAGACATTCTGTTAGCTTTCCATTTTGAATTACTAGAAAGAAGTTTGAATTTGAGTTGGATCCAGGAAAAAAGAAATAATCATCGAAATATATTTAGAGGACTGTAACCCAAGCACTCCCCTTAGAAATATTTGATCCTAGTATACAAATTATTTGGGCAATGTCTATTGCATGGACAAATGCATATTGAAGTCTCTAGAACAGCCATTCTCAACCTGTGGGTCGGGACCCACAGGAACTGTATTAAATTTAGGGCCGTGGCATTAGGAAGGTTGAGAACCACTGCTCTAGAAGAAGTTAAACATTACCATTGACTGGCATTCACTGGTACCTTAGATGCATAAACTGATACAGAAGTGATGTTTAATCATTTTGAAAGATAACTGTGGGGCTGTATTTTACCCATGACATTGTGATAGAAAGCTATCAGGAAATCCTAAAACTTGAGAAATCTGTTATTTAATGGGAAATGTCAAATATATAAAAATGAGAGCAGCTATACAGAACTTGCTGAGATAAAACGGAAATGGTAAATGCAGGAGCAGGCCACAGCCCTGCTAGGGCACGCCTCATATTCACCAATCAGTAGAATTGTGTCTTTTTAACTACCTTGGAACATTTTTTAATTGTCATAAAAACACAAACAAAATATGCCATTATCTCCATTGTTAAGTGAGTAATTTAGTAATCTTAGGTTGACTCAGATTGTTGTACAACTGGTCACCAGAACGTTTTCATCTTGCAAGGCTGAGACTCTGCTCATTGAACAACTTCCCTTTTCCTCTTCCTCAGTCTGGCAACCACCATTCTACTTTCTATTTTTATAAATTTGACCGGTTTAGATTCCTCATATAAGGAGAATCATATAATATTTGCCATTTGTGACTGGTTTGTTTCACTTAGTTTAATGTTGCAAATGTGGTAGGATTTCATTCTCTTTTAAACCTGGATAAAATTATATCAGATGCGGATACCAACTATTTTATTTATCCATTAATCTGTCAGCGAACACGTGGGTTGCTGCCATCTGGTGGCTGTTGTGAGTAGTGCTGCTATGAACATGCCTGTGCGAGTGAGTCTCTTACAGATCCTGCTTTTAATACTTTTTTGGGTGTATCCGGAAGAGATCTTGTTGCCTCATGCAGTAATTCTATATTTAATTTTTTGAAGAATCATGATACTGTTTTCTATAGCTGCTGCATGCACCATTTTGTATTCCCTTCAACAGAGCACAGGAGTTCCTATTTCTCTAAGTCTGCCCACACTTGCTCTGTGTATCCTCAGTAGGAACCACCCTAAAGGCTAGGAGATAACAAGAGCAATCTAAAAATTAATTTAAAAAACCTCTCATTGGCCCTGAATCCATCACTGTGATCCATGATTCTTTTGGGTGAGATTAGACACAAAGAGACACGGATTAGAATATTTGGGTTAGGATAACCATCACTGATGTTGCTGCTGGTGTAACTGATACGTTAGCATTTAATAACAAGTCTCTATATCAGAGTATGGCCTATAATGTCTGACGCAACCTGCCTTCTCTTTTATCTCCTGTCTTATTCCAATCTATACAAAATATTTAAATTAGGCTCGGCGCCTGTAGGACAGAGGCGCCAGCATGCACTGAGGCTGGTGAGTTCGAGCCCAGCCCGGGCCTAGTAACCAACAATGACAACTGCAACAAAAAAGTAGCCAGGTGGTGGGAATGCAAACTAATATGTCCCTTTTGGAAAGTCATATGGAGAACACTTGGAGATCTAAATATAGATCTGCCATTTGATCCTAAATTCCTCTGCTAGGTATATATCGAGAAGACCAAAAATCACGCTGCAATACAGATATCTATACCAGAATGTTCATTGCAGCCCAATTCAGAATTGCTAGGTCATGGAAGAAGCCCAAGTGCCCATCAACCCATGAATGGATCAATAAATTGTGGCATATGTATACCATGGAATACTATCCAGCCATAAAGAAAGAAGGAGACTTTATCTCCTTCATGTTTACATGGATGGGGCTGAAAAATGTTCTTCTTAGCAAAGTATCTCAAGAATGGAAGAAAAAATATCCAATGTACTCAACCCTATTATGAAACGAATTGTTAACTATCATAGAAAGCTATAATCCAAATGGAGTCCAAGAATACAGGGAAAGGGGAGAGGGAGGGGGGAAGATGGGTGAAGGGAGGGTGATTGCAGGGATCACGCCTATGATTTATCCTATAAGGGTACATGTAAATCTTTCTAAATGTCAAATATAAATGCCTAAACACAATAATTATGAGAATGACATGATGGCTATGTTGGCCAATTGGATGAAAGTATTTCAAATTGTATATGGAAATGACACACTGTATCCCATGATAGAATTAATGAATTAATGTGCACAAATATGATTTAATAAAAAAAAAGTAGCCAGGCATTGTGGCAGGCACCTATAGTCCCAGCTACTCAGGAGGCTGAGGCAAGAAAATCACTTAAGCCCAAGAGTTTGAGGTTGCTATGAGCTGTGATGCCACGGCACTCTACCAAGGGTGACATAGTGAGACTCTGTTTCAAATATATATATATATTCAGAAAGAAAAGTAGATTTTTTTTTACTGTTTCTGCATACAATTTGAAATACTTTCATCCAACTGGTTAACATAGCCTTCGTGTCTTTTTCTTAGTTATGTGTTAAGACATTTATATTCTACATTTAGAGAGATTCACATGTACCCTTATAGGATGAACCACAGGCATGATCCCACCAATCACCCTCTCTCCACCCCTTCCCCCCTCCCCTCCCCTCCCTCTCCCCATATTCCTGGGCTAAAATTGGGTTATAGTTGAAAAGTAGATTTTTAATAAATTAGAAGAATTTTAACTAAATAAAAGTCACAGAAAATGGATTTATTTTTGCTGTTTTAAGAGAAATTTAAAATGCTTCATTTACCATTTTAAATCTTAAATAGAAAATAGCCAACAAGTCATTTAAGAATACAAATAATAATCTTCATTCTCTCATAATGAAGAACTGCAAAGGGAAGGCAAAGGGGGAAAAAAGATGAAAAGAGGTGAAAAGAAAAAGAAAAAAGAGATGGATAAAATAAGTGGGATATATTAATCTTGGAAGGGAAGAAAAAGTACATGAATGTACACTGAGAGTGATAAACAGGTGGTGACAATCACTCTGACACATGTAAGAAGAGATTAGCACATTAAAGGAATGTGAAAAAAATGAGAAGATATACATCTGTCTTTGCCTAAAACCACACTAAACTAACTCTCTTTTTTTGAAGTTTCATATTATTTAATTTTTTTAATTAATTATTTTGTATTAAATTATAACTTTGTACATTGATGCATTTATGGGGTTCAGGGTACTGCTCCGATATACAATATAAAATGTTTACATTGAACTCAGTAACACATCCATCACAATTAGACCTGTTTCTTAATAGTTTTGAAATGAACCATTGCATCATGCACATTATAAACTCACTCTTCTTTAAAAAAAAAATAATGAGTCCACTCTATTGTCTCTTCCCGTACTTCTTGGAAGCGCTACCCACACTCAGTCACTCCTCCTGTTCCTCCCATTCACTCACCACCCACCAGGATGTGGATTTTGTCTCACTTCTCCACTGAGCCTGCCCTACCCAACCTCCATGTGTCAAAGGGAATAGTGAAGCTTCTGAGTCTTGGTTCCCCTCCTATCTTTCCTTCTTCAATCTTTGGGGAGTGGTCTTCACTCCTGTTTTGTTTTGATGGTCTCTAGTCTCTGTTGCTCATCCACTCCTGTTGTCACTCAGCTCATCAGGTAGCCTCTTTATACTTCATAACTTAAGCTCTCAGTAGGGTCTGGACATGTAGGTTGCATCTAAAGCTGATGACCTCAGGTTGTCAGCCTTGGGTTTGATGTCTTCCTGGACTTTAAGACCTCTCTGTCTATCTGTCAACTGGACATATTTTCCTCCATTTTCCACTGACCCCTCTGACTCCTGGTATAGAAAATGAAACCTATCACCCTTCTGGGCACTCTGCAGTCACTTCTAAATTGGTGAGATTGGAAGCTGGACAGTTCATCAGTCACAGCAATGTGGTAACTACAGGGGCTGAGAAAACACAGGGTAGAGAGGGGCTGATGGTGATTTGCAGATGTGAATGAAGAAGAGAATGGAACAGCTTGAACTGAGAGCGTCTGGTGTCAGAGGAAAGGAGACAGTGATCAAGAGAGAAATCAGAGGGATACTTGGAAGTCATGTGAGGACGCCACTCACTTAGGAGGCTCACACAAGGAGGGAGACAGGAACAGAGGTGGCAGGGACAGGAAGAGATGAAGGGACAAATCACCACTGCCAAAGAGGTAACAATTAGCCAGTCTTCTTGTCCATTATTATCCCTTGATACTTATTACAGAAATCTCGATCTTTACAGCAAAAGGTTGAAACCTTCCGGTCCGGAAAATATATACTTGCAGGCACACATCTATCTGAGCAGTCCAATCTAGTGTAACGGTAGAGCCACATACCTACAAGAGAAAGGCATTAACATCGAGTGCCAGAAATAATACTTGTGTCTGAGATCAAGACCTTTCCTCCCAATGTCCAACCTGGTGTCCAGAGCAGGACACAGCCCCCTCTCAGCATGAGCCCCTGGGACCACCTTCTCAGCAGTACCTGACTCAGCATACATGTAGATATTCTGGGTTCTGCATCCAGGGCCTTGGTTCACAGTGCAGTTGCCCTTGCCTTGTAAGCAACGGCCTTGCTCAAAATTGCTGCAGACCATGCACAATGTTGCTTGAGCTGGGGAAAGTGGACAGGAAAGCTAAGCTCAGGGCTGAATGGGCTAGGATTGGGCTAGGACACTATTAAGGAACCAGAAGTTCAAGGATAAAGAATAACCCTAACAACGCTCCCCAACATAGTCTAAGAATGTGGAAATGTTCCCATGAGATGTTGTCCATTAGTTCCTTAAGGAACTGAGGCATTGGCATAGAGATATAATTTTATTGAAAATAAAGTAAAAGGTAACCCATTGGCTATGAAGTCATTGTAGAGAGCACAATAAGTCTCTTCCTAAACACCCTCTGAGGCAAGTCATCTCCAGGAAAATAGATAAGGTTATAAGAACTGACTTGGCTTTTCAGTCAACTGAAAGCAGTTTCACAAGATTTATCACCACACCTCCCTCAAGGGAATGTAAAAAGCAAACATTTCTATGTGAAACTTGCCATAGAAATATTGTAGAGGGAACTTGCTATGGAAATACTGGTTTAGAAGAAGCTTTTAATGACTTCTTCCTCCCAGACAACTGGCTCTAGGCTGCTTCTATTCAGAAAGTCTTCAGCAACCATAGGTTCTGCTACTCAGAGCAGGCCAGCCTACCTCAAAGCCCTACTTTGAGAATGGCACCCCAGTGCCAATTTTCTCAAGGGGCTGACTGAGTTCACTCTGAGACCTTAGAAAGAGACCGAAACTCTTATCCTGGGAAGAGTCCTTGGGGTGTGGGCAGCAGAGAGAGACCTTCAATCCTTGAGGGTCAGACCATCCCAGAATCCTGACCTGAACTTTGTCCCCTTCCATATACCCACTGCCCAAGTTGACCTGACCATCATCCTCAGACTTTTCCCCTGGGACCTTCACCCATGCTCTCCACTGCCCAACTATCCAAGATCCTCGCTCACACCTTGGAAGAAGACAAGAGGGAAAATCCCCAGAAGCAGGAGCACCAGCAGGAATTTGTCCATCTCTGTCCAGATGGCAGGAAAATGTAGCAGGGTGGCTGGAACCAGGAAGCAAAGGGCCCAGGAAGCAAAAGGATAGGCTGCGCTAGTGTGGGACGGGAGCAGGCTGGAGAGTCTGGATGGAGCTGCTCCCAGGCTGTGGGCAGGAGCATCCTTTTACATGCTTGCCTGTGGGTGGTTCACCACTGCCCAGTGCAGGAGAGATTTCCACAGAGCCAGCCCTTGCAGAGCTCCCAAGGAGGAAGGATGACCCTGAGGTCCCTCCTCTTCCTTCAGATGAGGTCCAGGTCTTCCACTCCCCTTTACACCCTGCCTGTGTTTGATCGCATGGTCAGGACTGTGGCCCTCCTAGCACTGAATAGATGTCGGCAGTGGTATACAGTCCGAACAACACACACTTATTCGGTATTATCTGTAAACCAGGATCTGTATCTGCTGGCTACAGGGCACTGGGCACTGTCCCATTTAAGATGTACCTTCAGTCTATCATAAGCACATCAAGTAAACAGCAAATATTCTACAAAAAACAAAAGTAACAAAGGTCCTATGGATGCCTTGGTTATTTTACAAAGTATGAAACAACTCCTGATGCTTTTGACTCTCTCATTTGTCTAGCTGCGAAAAGCACAGACCTACTGGATTCAAGCAGGTCTGTGCCGATAGAGGCTCTCGCCCTCTGCCCCAGCACCTGACTCAGAGGCTCAAATTTTCACACACATGCTTATGTAGACACAGACTAGGATACAGCACAAAAAGAAGTTAAGGTTCAAATTGGTTTTCCAACTGAGCTAACTGCAGTCTCCTACAGATATTCTCTAAGGTTTCTTCAGCTCATTCATCATGCTTGATAAACATAACCAAGCCCCCCGGTGCTCAGCAGCCTGGTAGCACCCAAGGGGAGAAGGAGCCTAGAGCAAGATCACCACTGTGCAGGTTAGCATTAGAAGAAATGTTCCAGATCACAGTGACAGTTTTCCTTCCCTTCTCTCCCCCTGCAGCCCCCCTCCATCTACACAAGGCTTCATGGCACAGACCTTGATCATCAGGTTCGCAATGAACAAGAACACTCTGTACACTACACACTGAGTGGACAGAGCCATTAGGTGATATTTCCTACTAAATAGAGAATGATACAACCAGTGAATGAATGCATGATGATCCATCAGGCCAAAAAGTGACTCCTGGAGGGGAAGGTCCGGGCAACCAGGTGCACCACAACTTGGAGAGTCTGGCTGCAGCCCCTAGCTCTCCACAGATGGAGAGCTCCCCTGCCCTGTCTTCACAACAGAAAGACAAGACCCAGAAGATGCCGGTGGTGTGAGGGGTAGTGAATCAACAGTCCCAAAGTAGACCCACTTGCCGTTACCTCAGTCACCAGGATGTTCAATGTTCAAACAGTGGCAACAGAATTCCAGGGCTTCTCATGGTTCCCAACCCTGTATCACCCCATCATAATTGTGCCAGTCAAGGGCGGGGGGGGGGGGGAGAAGAAAAAGAAAATAAGGGAAACAGGATATAATCAAGTAATTGTAGTTGATAAAAAATAAATTTTTTCTTGTGAGTCATCAACTTACTAATACCTCCTTATGGTTTTGGCAGACTTAATGAATGTGTTAACAATAGCACAAAATGCAATTTTGGAAAGAGAAGGACTATCCTGGAAAATATGGGAAGAGGGGTTAAAGCAAAGAAAATAAAGATCTGGCCCAATTTTCTTGTGAGGTGTATGCCCACTGAATATCATCTTGGTGTTTCCTTGGGGAAAGGAAGTGGAGAGTCCCTGACTATGGACACTTCAGCACGGTGCTTTGGTTCTGTTGTGGCCTCTTACTGGAACAAACCTGGATTTATGCATTTATGAGATGTGGTTCCACTAAGAAAAGTATGTGATTAGTATTTCATGGTAAGAACATAAATTGGAGATATTTAAAGACCAGACACAACTGCATTTACATATTAAATTTACCCCAAGCATCAGTAGGGACATCCCCCTAGTCTCCCAAAGTTAACAGACCTAGTATTTAGTCCTGCTTCATGCATCAGGTCCATGCTTCATTAAAATAGGCCTCTTTAAAAACCTCAAAGTACATGGCCAGCCTACTCAGAGGTCATCCAACTCAACCTCTCTCCTAGTACAGGAAGCTCCTCCTCCGACTTCCACAGGCAGTGGGTGTCGAGACCACCACAAGCTTCCAGGCCCATGCCAATCCCCATCTGATCTTCCACTGATGTGTCTAGGCTGGGACCCTGGTGGGCAGTGGCCTGGCCAGAACACAGACTGCAGAATCTGACACAGCTGGGTTGGAAGGCTGGTTCTACCTTTCCAAATTTTGAGGGCATAGCAAGTTACCTTATTCTATACATCTCATTTTCCTCAACTGAGGAAAGAAGATAATAATAGTTCTTACATCCTAGAGTGGCTGTAAGGAACAAATATTATATATACTGAATGTTGTATTCTTAGCACCACATGTAACACATGTTAATGACATAAGTAGCATTGCTCAATTTTTTTATGTATCATTCTTCCACTTCATTGCTAACAATTATGAATTCCACTTAAGAACAATTAAGCTTAAAATTGGGACTAGAGTGAATGACAGCTAATCTTCAGCGACGTCTTTTCTCTGCCTGTGCAGTGTGGCCCAATCAGCAGTCCTAATTTCACTCGGCACCCACACACATGTTAATCTTTCCATCAACAGAACCATTTGTCTCCTACCCCTGATGACGTACAAGGGGCATCCTTCTCCTCACCCAAAGGAAGGCTCAGAGCTGCATCTCCCACCACCACATGCTTTTCTTGCTTCCCTCCAGGCTAAGGGAAAGCCGTAGCAGCCACAGAAGAGACAAACTGCTTTGTGAGGAAGGAACAAGCTGCCCTCACTACTAGCCCTTCAATTCCCAAGTCACCACCATGA